CCTCCAACGTTCCATATCAACGTTACCAGAAATTTAGAATGGCCACGTATATATGACGTAATGTAAGTACGTTACATTTTCGTTATTTTGGTGACGTAATTTTTAAGGTCGCTACTACGTTTCTGACACGTGATATTTAAGTCAAATGTAACGTTCTTTAAACATCTGTGCGAGTCCACACCTTCCTGTACCTACAACGTTCCATATCAACGTTACCAGAAATTAAGATTGGCCACGTATATATGACGTAATGTAAGTACGTTACAGTTTCGTTATTTTGGCGACGTAATTGTTAAGGTCGCTACTACGTTCCTGACACGTGATATTTAAGTCAAATGTAACGTTCTTTAAACATCTGTGCGAGTCCACACCTTCCTGTACCTACAACGTTCCATATTAACGTTGCTACAACTTGAGACATATATTCTGACGACGTTATCACAACGTAAAATTGTTAGCTGGGATACACCTTCAAGACACGGTAAATTAAAAGAAATTTAATTTCTTCATATTTTGTTATTAGTTAATGAAAACACAGAATGGAATCCTGTGCTAAGGGCTGATGTGAAAAAGTCAGTCCACCCCAGTGGGGATCGAAACCACGACCCCTTGCTTTCCGGACAAGTGCTCTACCACTGAGCTACAGGACCGACTGGCTTTTCCACATCAACATTGCATATATAGCATTGCAGCCATGTCTTACATGCCCATTTTCCTGGACCCCATATAAGTTACCTGTCTTTCCAGGTTGTCAATCACTCTATTCATGATGTCACGTGGACTTTTACACGGACCATTCCCCCTAAGGGGAAGTAGTATTAGTTAATGAAAACACAGAATGAAATCCTGTGCTAAGGGCTGATGTGAAAAAGTCAGTCCACCCCAGTGTTATACACGTACCCCTTCAGTAATAATGAAGTGATTATCTTCTATTGTAAAGGAGATAAATTATCCAATTATGCATCAACAATCTCAAATAAAATAAATTGTAATCATTTAAAAGTAATCATTTGGTCAAATATAGCTACTGAGACGAATGACATTTTTTTTACTTTAGAGAGGGGGGGGGTATAGAGGAATATATTTACTCCCGCTAGTGCAATTAGCTTAGGGACTCTAGGGCTAAGGTATATTGACAGCTATGGAGACGAGACTCGGGATTACTGTTCACAATTTATAACATTGCTTGTTATAATTTACTATTGTGCTTCGTTGCAAAACTTATTATCATTGTATATTTACATGCTTGCTATAACAATACAATTAATCTTAAACGCTACAAATAAACAAGCGCCATTAATAATATCCATAAGTAAATTGCAATTCTTAATGGAAAAATCATGACTGATATTCAAATACCTATCTTTACGGTTATATACACTGTCGCTCATAAATATGGAATATTTTATAGATATGGTTCATAAAAATGTTTATTGTCTCGTGATTTCCTCTTCATATTTCCACAGGAAACTGATTTTTATTAAACGTAGCTCATGGAGAGGGTTGTGGTTATAGTTGAGGTGGCCTTCACCAAGCAGAGTCGCACACCATTGGTGAGTCTACAGTGACCTTTTGGACCTACATTTAGTACCACATGCAAACAGAGTGTCTGGGCGTAAATTTCAACTGCAGCATGATCAAGCCCCTGCGCATGATAGCTGCATTATGCAGGATTTCCCCAGGGCAGGCAATATGGAGCAGCTGCCATGACAAAGTCAGCTTATCGGGCTCCTGCAAAGTACACGAGGGATGAGAAAAACAGCAATTCATGACATGAATGCCCTATCTCAAGATTTAGCAGAGTTGTGTACTCCCCTGATTGAGTAGTGGAACCTTATTTCGTAGATGGGTCAGACATCTCATTGACAGCTGGCCCCGCGGGATGAATGATCTGATTGCAGCACTAGGAGGACATACTGCACATTAGTGCTGTTATGGGATATAGGATACATCCCTCTTCATGACAAGATGTTTATCTTCTTTGATCCGCTTTTCATTAAAATTTGGATCGGGGTGTTCTGAAAATGCAAAGACTGCCCTATTTTAAGACGGCCTTCGAAAACTAGTACGCGTACCTATTAGCAATGATTAGTTGCATACTCTTACATAATTTTTCATAATCTTTCATAATGTTTCACCATCTCCAGCTATCGACTCGGACGCGAGGACCCTCCGCGTTCCCGTCGGATTCTCCATTTAAAAATCCATTATCCCTGCGGGATTTTTCAGTAACAATGGAAAGACACGACGAATTACCGACACATTATCGAGGGCCGATATTTGGGTGACCTTTGACTCATGAACTTCCGGGTCAATACTTAGAAATGGAGGGAGAAAAATCGTGGTAAATATTTGGAACCGCGGATTTAGAATCGACGCAGACACGACATATCGACATATCAATGTTCTCGAGAGCTCTCGCTACAGTTTTCGAACAACGTCGATATTGTTAACAGCGGGGGATAGATATCACGGTATTAGTTTTCGAAGACAGCCTAAATGACAGCAAATTCCTTAACTTATATGTAAAACTTTTTTTTCAATAGAATGTTGATTTGTAGATTTAACAGTAGCCCGGACAGAATTGTTCGATGGTCATTTTTTCTTTAATAACTTTTTCAATTTTCAGTTCTATCAAAAACCGATTACATATTTGAACACTAGAGTAAAATTCTGACATACACAAAAATTATTTAAGGAATATCTCTTAATTTATTGATATTATAGGCGTTTATGGTATGAGTGACGCAAATGCATAATTCATCATTTTGCCTCATCTTCATTCAAAAATGGCTGCATGTTTTGTGAATTTGAATGTTCAGTTGAAAAAGCTAATATTCAAGAAATGTCATAGGCCTATGAAGTCAAGTAGACTGCTATTTTGGGTGCATTTAAAACCTTTTGTTTTAAATTGAATTGTATGTACACTTGAAAAAGTTCGTATATTGTATTGTACTCTATATTGGAAGTGTTGCAGGGCAACGTTTTTCGGCCATTCCATTGTTACCCCTAGTTTAACCCGTGCAGCTATAGAGTCATACTTCCATCGTTTTGAACGACTTTTCCAGTCAAACACCTCCCGGCCCATCTTTATATGCATGTGAATTGTTCTTGAGCTTTTCAAGGGCCTCTGAGATGGCTGTTTAGGCCTCTTGAAAAGATTGGGAACCTAATCTCAGTCTCATCAAACCCCGCACATTAGGGTTCAGCTTTTAACATCCTCTTGAACACAACCGCCGAACATTGCAGTAGAGCTGAGTTCAAGATCATTTGCAGGGAGTTTGATATAGTGTATTTATTGCATCAATATTCGTAACATTAATATCTTCGGTTTTTACCCCACGGAGTAAGTTAAACCGAACATAAACAAAACCAGTTACAACAAACAGTACCTACTATCCCACATATAATTGACTGTCTTACACAACAAATATGTAAGATGCTTCAAAAGTGTATTCGACCCGATCAAATATAAATTTGATAAGTATTTTAAATATGTGCGATGCCAAGTACCATTCGTATTGGGTAAACATATTCATTTGTGCTAAACATATTCATTTGTGGGGTAAGTCACGTGACTTACCGAATGATTTTATATAAACCATTGTTCACTGTTTTGATGTGGGGTAAGTCACGTGACTTCGACCATGTGACTTTCGCCATCTATATATTCAAAGAGCTCTGGTGTGATTCTCCAATCGCGAAAACGTATCTTCTATTAACAAAGGATCACTTATGTAGCCTCATGCCTGTTGTAATGATTTAATAACTTCTCAATTTCCTCTCTGGATTGTGAATATGAATCGTATTCAAATTCTTTTTCCTCGCTTGTTTCATCCATTTTGAAATTTCTACGTCACTGGTCACGTGATTTACCGAATGGTTTTATGCTACATGCATGTGTCATTTATGTGGGGTAAGTCACGTGACTTACCCCACATAATTTTATGCGAAACATGTCATTAATTATGTGGGGTAAGTCACTATATGTCCGTGCTATTTTGTACTCTATGATTGTTCGGTAAATGAACATTGTTTGGTTCTAAAGTGTATTTGTATTTGATGCGTGTTCTAAATATATGTGTCAACTGTCTTTGTTCGTGTGTGTACATGGACTTAAATATGTGATATTTTACCAAACACTGAATAACATAAACCGCATATACAAGTGCATTTACCGCATATATAGGTACATAAATCAAATATAAATGTGTAAAAACAAACAAATTTATTACGTGTTTCGAATCATTTTAATAGACTGGAATATCGAATGGTTGTAATCAAATACAAAAGTGTGAAAATCGAATAAAGATGCAGAAAAAATTCCATAGTTTGACTTCTTTTATTTGATTATTGGCCAGTTGCAATATTTCATGGATCCATCAGAACTGTAATGATGGCAGCATGATGCCCATAGGCATATGACATTTTATAAAATTAACTTTCAACTCAACATTCAAATTCACGAAACATGCTGCCATTTTTGAACAAATATGAGACAAAATGATGAATTATGCATTTGCGTCACTCATACTTTGAACTCCTATAATATCAATAAATTAAGAGATGTTCCTTAAATGTTTTTTTTGTTTTTTAGTTTTCAAATATGTAATTAGTTTTGGATAATTCTGAAAATTGAAAAAAGTTATTAAAGAAAAAGTGACCATTGAACAATTCTGTCCGGGCTACTAATTAGGCCTATGTATTATGTATTTTTAGGAAATAAATTGCTTAAATGACTTCTCATTTGATGAATGTTATATTCCATATTTATGAGCAACGGTGTAGTAGCGTTGTGGGATCCACAGCCTTTACTATCCTTTTGGACAAAAGCGTTAGGTAAAGAGCGACTCTGATAAATCAGAATGGTGTAGTAGCACACTTATAGTACATTTCATACGCATCCCTTAAATAAATACTTTAAAAAGCTACATGTTGAAATGTTAACGTTTTGATCTAACATATGGAAATTTGCATGATAGTGGTATAAAGTTACATACGCGAGCAATCAATCTTGCTGCATTTTACCAGCTTGTTTTCTATATGAGACCCCACGCACTGTTTTCCGCTTTGAAGTGTTGGTGTCTTTCCTCTGGTCCGTATACAATGTTTCTGACAGCATTTTAAACATTCTGTACACAGTCCCCAGTCTGTCCACTGCTCCCACTGGCAATTAACTAATAAAATAATCCTTCGAATGATGTAATATATAAAATTGGCTAGTCAGAGCACATGTACGTTAAGATTTTTAGCCTGGTTGAGTTGCAAAAGGAGATTTTTATGCCTCCTTTATTTCGTCTTTTATACCTCTAAGTATATTGGCTGTTAGTATATCCCTTATGTATATTTCATTATCAGACTAGCCAATATAGCCGAGAGTCAATGTAATACAAGACACCGTATCTGGTATCAGATTTTCGTAATTTTTATAACATTAGGTCGGAGGGAAGATCATTTTGACCCCGGTGATTTTTTATTTGTTGTCTGACTCAATACTGTTGGTATTGTTTAAACCTTATTAAAGTACCTCTTCAAAAGAAGAGGGGGAAAGCCCAAGATATGTAACTATATTTTATGAATTTCGTTTTTATTGGCATTAACTTTCATATCTTTGCTACTCTACCACCCCCATGTATCACAAATTAGTCTAATTAGTCGAGAATGTTCATTAGGTATTACCTGGTTTTAAAATGCACATTGCCAGACATTTTTTGAATTGTGGTTTCTCAGATTCAGAAATGCATGTATTCCAACATGTTCCATCTACACGCGCTGTCTAAAATCGCATATGATATTTAAACCTCACGAAGAAACGAAACTTCATGGTCCACATTTGACTTCAAAACTAACAGGCGTGTCCGATTGATACTGGGTATTTTACACAGTATAGAAGGAATTACGTTGATAAACGAATAACAATCAAGAATGAATTGTTTTGGCGATATTACATAATGTTACCTAATATATTTTTAAGTACTAATTGAATTAAATGATTCGAACGTCCTGCGTTTTGAGTTCGGAGTCTTTAATAAATGGAAGGCGGTGATATTTTGATTGTTAAAGCCTTGTTTTTATATTTAACCTACATTCGGAATCTTGCACCACATCCTACACTTCTTGATACCAGTTTTCGTTGCCTTACATCTCTTCATGCAGTCAGCATGATACTTTGCATCTACCAGGGTACCTATTAAGTATAAGATTTGAAATACTTTAAATCAACTATGCATGTTATACTAATAGACAGGGAAACACATGAGAACACACCATTGGTCTGAATTACATCAGTCCAAAACCCAAACATCCGAAGCCCAATTGTCCGAATCTCGTTCATTCGAAACGAAATCGTTCAAATCCGATATGGGATTTTTGAATATCAATATTATTCTCTGTTATTTTCCCTGGGAAAACATGTTATTATGAAATTAAGAATGATACAGGATTCTTTATGACAATCCAAATATGACCCTTGTCAATGATGAAGTAGAACATGAAAAAACATTTATTGAGTTTATGTATGATATGTCACTGAACTATGAATATAGAATTCAAACATACCAATGTGTAAGTCTTACAAGTTCATCATCGTTTTTAGGTTTGTGTTTAATGGATGACATCGTGAATAATGTCAGTGTTGACTTAGGTTTCTCCTTGCAGTCTATGTTTTGGACTAGTTTTTGTTTTAGAAATACTAAATAGTGGTGTTGAGTTATTACAATTCCTTTGAAAACTATATGGAAGACTTTATTTATCAAATATCATAGAAAAGTAAACTAATTAATTTGATGCAGACGTTTGCAGTAAAAATATGGAAACTTAGTAGAAAATCATGATATTGACTAAAATTATCACAGTGATGACATTGATCATATACTAATTTCTAAGGTATCAATCAGCAAGATTTAAATAGCAATTAAAATTAAAAGAGGATAATATGTTACTTACCCAACACGGTTATAAAAAGGACTATTCCGAAGATAGTCTTGCACTTCAGCATTGTAGCGATGTCCCGTATGCGTTTAATTTAATAATTTTATCAGTTCATCGCACATTTACTTAATAATATATAACTGTCACACATAGATGAATTAAAATTGATATTATGATCGGAGGCAGATACATTTATATGTTAGACAATTAATCGTTTATGCTGTGTATGTAATCTTTTATATTTGTTAAACAATATGTCTTTTTCAAATAACGATAAGTTCAAAACAATTTAATCATGATGAAAAAGAAATGGAATTTCACGCCATCAATTTTCAATTCGCACTTTAATCAACTTTTAATCAAAATACATTCTCAACATGTCAGCAACTCAATTCGTATGCACGGCTTGCTTTTAGAAACTTGCGAAGGTGCAAATATCTCACAAATGTTAGCAAGGCGTTTAAAAGGTGGTTGCCATTTTGAATTTTGCGTTTGAAAAATCGGCAGCCAATTTGAAAACAGCAATTAACAAAAATCTTCTAAATCTATTCCGAATTCAGTGGCCATCTTGAAAAAATCTTATTGAACAGAGGTCTTACATCCGTAAGGTAAGGCATCAGTATTTTACTAAATTGCAAATCTGCTTTGAATGTGATTACTGCTATTATGTTTTGCCTCCCAAGACCAAATGCTCCTTTTGGCACCATTATTTTTATTCTTATACATCAATGAAATGATCTCCAGTTCTATTTAATATTTTACACCAAATGTTGACAAGTGGTTCAAATGTGATAATCCTTATCAACATTTTCAATGATATACTTTTAAGTCTAAGCACGGTGGGTAATTTACATATTTACCCTAAAAACGCTCTTACTTATCAGTCACCAGGCCATCATTTCCCTACTGAATTCACGTCATCATGCGAAAGGGTTGAGCTTGATAATGACGGCATGACTGTCCATCGTACATATGCGAAGCTCATTGATGTCAATTTGATACTCAGATGGACCATTCCTGCCTTACTTACTAGAAATGAACTGAGAGAGGGCTGCTGGGATTTCTTATGAAGCTCCTGCCAGGGCAGAGTATTTAGTAGTCCTGATTAAACGTCTCTTAATAAACATTAGAGAGCGTTCGATGCAAGTTTTCAGCCAAACTATTTTCGATTATGGTCAAATGATTAACACGACTCCATAGACCCCGGAATTGTTGGAGACATGTTTTATTTGACAATAAAAAAACAGCTATGAGGCTGCAATTGATGTCAGTTATTCTTTAATGTTTGCTTAATAAGTGCTCCAAATTTGACAAAGAACTACCAATGCCTTATATTTCCCTTAAAAATTCTCATGACATCTGGTACACCCTGAGATACATTTAAATATACTAATACAATGTTATACATATTAAGAAAAGGCGAAATACACCAAAAATATCCTCCCTATGTTACTTTGACCTACTTATGACCTAATTCGACCTACTTTTCTGTTTTTAATACACCTCTCGAGAGAGTTTTGAAAGATATTTAATATGGTACTGTAATGGTCTGCTTAACGAAATTATTAATACATAAAGCTTTCGCAGTTGCGGTAGTATAATATTTTTAAAGTCTATTTCACTGAAACACAAAAACGGAGCAACACTTTAAATATCAATCCTGTGTGGTAGACTAATCGGAAATAAACCGGTTTTGTAACTAAGACGAAGCAAACCACGACGGAAAACGCAATTCGAACGCGAGTTGGAAATATTTATCTATAATCTGATTGGTTGATTTTGTATCAACTCACGATTGAATCGAATTTTAGATCGTCAGCGTTGTAGGGCGTCAGACGATATCTGGAGGCACGACTACAAGGTAGGGCTATGCACATTTTCTAGGTGAAAGGATTTCTGCTCATGGGCTAGATTAGTTCAACAAGTTAAACCCAATACCACGGCTTTTATTTATTAATCTGAATGTTATTGTTGCCGTGATTGGGTTTAACTTCCATGCCATAGTTTTATTTGTTGCAAATTCTCACTATCAGTTATAAATTAAACGCGCATGGAATTCTATGCGCTGCCATAGGCCACTATTAAATATTTTGCACCAAGGGCCGAATAGGCACGGACGTTAAACCTAGGGCGGGCCACAAGCTATGTCAGATAAGAAATAAGGCCCAGACTAGGTTTAACTTGTTGAACTAGGGCTAGATGTGACATCGGAATAAAGACTTCATCAACGACGATAGACAGCAATGAGCAACCCGAGATAAAGGATTCGTAAGCTGTGAATCTACAGCAGTCCGTTGGGGTGCCGTAGCAGCTGGAATTCGCTGATCGAAAAAACTATCACCGTGGGATTTCAACACCCAGTCAGCCAAGTTCCCCGCCATCTCGAGCAGAACTTTCCACGCCCACTTGAAGGATGATTTCCCACAACCAAGTGCCTTATATCGTCTCGCATAGCTTTTATTATATTAGACACTTCTGTAGTTCTAGTTGTATAGACATTTTAAATAGACATTTTTACATTTCCATAATACTATAACTAGTTCAAATATAATAATCAGTGCAATTACACGTTCGTGTTTTATTTGTGTTCTATGTTCTGTTTTATATTAAATTAAATAAACCTTGTACGTAATGTTATATTTTATATTGCTTGTCGTGTTGCATGTTATATTTGCTATATTAGGTTCTGTTTAAAAGCCACATTCCCCTCCCCGTTTCGTCCGGTTCCAGTACCTTAGTTTTTACTGTACTTCTTCAACATTCTCTATTTTGTATGGTAATTAATTATAGATCTAGTTTTGTATAAGGGATTTACATAATTGATGCAACTTAATGCCATTCCTTTATCTGACTAGAGCATATCCAATCTCGTTGCCACAAATATAGAGGGAGCAGAATTAATGGGTGGTGTCAATTTGCGACATCCGATAAACAGGATGCGGTTAGTACATAATATGTGAGAAAAATGTCCATGCAGAATAATTGCATCTTCTTTATTTTGATGCGTAATAGTCTGGTTTCTAATAAAAATACAATAAACGAGGGAATGGATAGAACAGCTAACTTGAAATTATGAAACTGAGGTAATCTAAAAATGACTTTGGATGCATTGTGTTAGTATATTGTAATGCAGTTGTATGAAATACAATGTTTTGATTGGTTGGAATCGGACACATCTTCACAAGCTATGTTTGAAAAAAAACTTCATTTATCTTGCAAAAAAACAACTACAAAATGTAATGAAGACATAACCCATATTATATGCAGAATATATATGTTTATTATTTCATACTCTGTACATTGCAAGCTGTAATGTCTATTCACGGATGCACCGGCCTATGGGTGTTACGTAATAACACACCTCTGTTCTAGTTTGTGTGTCACTCGTACAAGCCAAGGATTGACAAGAACACGTAAAACGACGGATACATTCTTTTTTACTTCTACAATTTCTACTTATGGACGGCTGTCGGTCATATTCTGTGATTCTATCTTCAGATGCCCGAAATGAAAATATGCCACAAGGTGAGCAACTCCATGATGTCCAACTCTTCGAATTGCAACCTGACATAAAAAGTAAAATAACTATGACAAAGAGAGGCTGCTTGTTAATACTCGATTTCAACAAGAGTTCAAAAGGTCTGCAAATGTTACAAAATAGTTCTGAAAATTATTATCACTCCCTGGGAATTGTTAGCAGTAAACATAATGTAAATATTTTCAAAGTGTGATAAAAAGGCGCAAGGTTGCCACGGGAATGGACGTACGCTGACAGTACATCTGCCTTTAGGTGAATATTTTATTTATATATATTATTTAAATAATTTTGTTTTTATTGTTGAGCCAGGACGTATGCGCCTTTATACCCTTTGAACATGTTAATAACTTCAAGACAACATTGCTTACATGAAGGTATATCGGTACATAATTTGGTCGACACTTCGGTCTGTAATTGGGGATTTGGTGTGCAGTATGGTCCTTGTCTGGTCCTAGTCCGTGTACACTTAACAGATCCTCTATTACAAGACTTCGGGCATGAAGGGCAACTCTCGCTCCAAGTAGCCCAGTTTGACCAACAACCTGTAAGTTGGACATTCATTTAGTAGTTATGAATAAATTGTATTGATTGTATTACAAAATAACCTTACTGTAATGGCACTTGCGTCGAACAGGAAGATACTGCAATAAATGTGACAGCATAGAATTATAATACTTACTTGATTATATGCGTTTACCTTATGGATACTACTCCCTAATGTCCCACTTAAATGCAAAATATTGCACATGTGAGGTTATCATAAGTTCACGCCTCTGTACTTTTCAATTGAAGAATTGTTGCCTTTGTTTGAATAATCTTTATTAACACATCCGTGTCAATTGATTTACCAACTTGTAGCTACGATATAAACACACATCCCGTGATATTACATTGGCAAATCAACTTTGAGAAGGTATGTATAATTTGTCGTAGGTTTACTTCATAATGGGGGAAAAAATAATCAAGTAATATAATTATTATTTTATGTTTCAAAAAATGTTTGTGTGAAGTAAGATAAAAAATCCAACCCCTTCTTTGTAGGGTTATGGTATAAAGTATATATTTTCAAAAAGCAATTTAATTATAATGTATCATGTTGATTTGTGAACGTTACGATTGGATTTATTTGTGACTGTTTTCAATCCAAATGTTACATACTGGAATCGACGTAAGACATATCTGTTTTTGTTTACGAAATCTTGTTCAAATCTTTTCTCTATAACATGAATGTAGCAGGTGAAACTTTCCTATATTGTCATACTATAAATATTGAATGTGTATGCAGATTTTAAGACAATATGTTCAGCAGAAATTCTGAAATCACTTTCTCGATTTGCTGTTATATGTGTGCAATGTTCACGTATGTAAACGTGAACTAATGACACATAACATGTGTATGACTGAATCCACGGATTTCGACTACCCAGTACCCGCAATGCAGTTTTAAAATATCCACTAACTTGCTCTAGCATTGCAGGTAAAGGAGGAAATGCTAATTACAATATTAAGGAATTAAAAAAAACAAAAACATGAAGGTTAAAAAAATGGAATGATATCCATTAAGATTCCAGCATTGAATCAAATATACAGATACTTTGGCAGATTTTTATTTTTGATTTGAGGTTTCTTATGGTTATTATAACGGTCATTTTGATATCATAAATTCGATATGACAGCACCAACTGAGTTTCTATATATCTTTTTTAACAATTTCAAAACTCGAAATTAAATAACGTTTTCAAATATGTAACCTTTTAATGCACCAATAGTCTTAGTGTATTCTTCATTCATTCATGCAGAACCATGATTCGACCCATTTCGTACAGTAGAAATGCTGTGACGAGTTTACGTCCACCGCGCATTTCCGGAAGTGAATTGGATTTTATCAGCTATGGATAAACCCGGAAGTAGATGCATCCCAAATCCACTGAATATAATTGAATGCCAGCATGTTTGATCATAACGACCATTGTCAATCGATTTGGAATAGAGCTATATTTGACTTGGAAACAAGTTATTTAAACTCTATCGATATTTTTAGGAGAGCAAAGGAGTTGAATTGAGGATTTTTTGCCGATAAAGAAAGTGCAGATTTTCATGTCGATTGACCAGTTATTCAATGTCTCCACCTCCCTAGATCAAAAGAGCGTCTAAAACAACGTCTAGTGTGTTAATTTTATGTCATTTGGTGATCCAAAAATATAGTAAAATCAGGGGGTAGAAACGCGTCCAGTATTTTCGTCTTGTACAAACCAAGATACTGGACACAGACTTCCATTTTTGATCCAGAGAAAGGTAGGTGTGTTTTAATTCGGTAGCCTGTGATAGTTTTACAGTGTTTCCTTATCTAGAAACCGGCTCATCAGATTCCCATGGCCAGTAACTTAGGGAACACACAATTCTTATAAAATGGCAGTCAATTATCTATAGATTATTTGTAATGTGGGGTTAAGCACGGAAATACTTTTTCTCTTAAACCAATTATCGAAAACATTCTGTAGAAAAACACGGTCCTTTATGTAATATTGACTGATTGACAACAATTTAATGCGAAAATAATTTATATATTTTTATATAACTGTTTTTGTTAAAATTTCTTGTTTTTAGTGCAATTGTTTTTTTGTTACTTTTTACCATTTCTTGAAAATGAAATAAATTATCTTTCCGAAGCTTGTTTGAACAAAATAGCATATACAACATTTTCTTAGACTTCCCAATATTATAGTTGTACAAAGGAAATTTTGGTTGATTTAACAAAAAGTATTCAAAAAATTAAAACAAAAAACGAAATAGATAAAAACTAACTTAGATAAACCTTTACATTCATTAACAAGATACTTTTTTTTAAATCAACCGGACTTTCCTTTGTATAATTATAATATTGAGAGACATAAACATATTTTGTTTATGTCTTTTCGTTCCAATGAGGTTCGAATAGATGTTTCATTTCATTCCGAACATATGATACCTAGAACAAAAGAAGTGTCCGATGTGTTTTCTAAGACAATATAGAGAAAAGTATATATGTCTATTTCAAATTATATTGTTACCATTAAAAGATGACCATTAAATTGACAATGTGTAAACTTTTCAGAATTTGGTGATGACTTGTTTAAGAGAAACCTGTGTTCAAAAAGTTCGCCATGTCGTGACCATCCTTACCGGACGAAATAAAAATGTACTTGACGCTAGCTATCCGGTATTGATATAGTAGGCTAGAAGGAAACTGAGAGAAGGCTGTGATAACTCACGATGGGTCTTTACATTTGCAGGAACATTTTCTTTAGTTTACAACAACCAACAAAAGTGAGGCAATGATTACACATCTTTGAACACATTTTAGTTGATGTTTCATACTGTGATTGAGACATTGGTGTGCAGTTCGGTCCTTGTCTGGTCCTAGTCTTTGTACATGTGACAGATCCTCCGCCACAAAGAGGGCAAGAAGGGCAACTCTTGCTCCAAGTTTCCCAATTTGACCAACAACCTGCAATGTTAAACATCTTTTCTGTCTAGTTGAACAAGTTGAACATAAACAATTGCCTGAAAGTAAAAAAATGAATGAATAATGAATGAGAGTTTCATATTTTATGGACTATTTCAGTGATCCAACATATTTGCTTTATAGAAATCTAGAAAACTTAATATGTACCATAATTAGTGGATATTGCTTTGAGGAAATCTATGCCAAAATATTTTGCTTGATGCTACCTCTACACACTACTTTCCATTTTAAGGCAAAACTTAAGCCGTGCCTTATGGCAGAGGGCCCCTACCCCAAGAAAACCTTCGGGGTACTTTGATACCCCCGAATAAAAAGAATACTAATGTAGGTTATAAATTCATAATTTTATATTAGGCAGGTAGTGCCATGGTTAGTCAGTGCTAGAAATTCCCAATCTCTAACGTATATGGTTACCATGGAAACATTTATATATCAAAATTTTCTCAAACCTTAACAAATAATTTGACACACCATTGGTGATGCTCATCGAGTAGGGTATATGGATATAATGGAGGGTCATGATAACACTTACATAAAATAGTTGAAGTGTCTAATAATGATAATTAACATACTACAAGGTTATTGTACATAATGTTAGTGCTAATTAAATGTCAATCGTTGTGAATGTAATATGTATTTTTTATTTAATTCTGCAGCAATTAGGCAAGTATCAAAAAGTGCCACGCCCACGTTTGAAATGAAATGTCCTCTTGGTGTTCTGGCCCTGGGTTGTGATATTGGCTCTTGCTTTGAGGGGAAGGGGGTGTTGGGCATTATTTCTTTTCACGTTTGATCATGTTTTTAATATACTGTTTAGGGTATATTTTTCTTATGACATGTTTACACCTTTTTGATATATTTCTTTACAGTTTTTTGGTCCTTTCCATTTAGCACTTGTGCTTCGATATTTCCTTCAGTTAATACCCTCAGGGGTATAAATCTAGGACGTTCAAGTCGGGTGAGTGGAGGGCCCACAACATGTCACATCTCCTGCTGATCAGTCGATGCTCAAACCATTGGCACAGTCACTCCAACGATTGGCTTCAAGTGCAACCATTTTCTCTCATGGTTGATGTCCCTGGGGAAGTATTCCTAATGCTGTCTCAAAACTTCCTCATCACCACAAGATTTGATCACTGATCATCGGTAGATGTGACCCTTTGTTAGCCCCGCACTCACTCAACTTGAACGCCCAAGATTTCTATACGTGGGGTTAATTAAAGGACCATTGTTTATGCAAACCACCCAAAGACAATCAGTCACGTAATAAAAACAGAAATCACTGCAAAAATCAGAGCTATCTCGGGTACTAATAGTACTTTGAATATGAGAACGTTTCGCGCCGCATACAGGAAAGCCTGCGACGTCGAGGTTGTCGTATAAAACACATATTTTGATACATTTTTAACAGACCATTTGACCATTTTGGGCATAACCCAAAATGTTATGACGAGAAGTGTCAAGCACATTTATGGGTTGCATTCACTTTCGGTAAGCCTGTACATCAAAATGATAGGGAGTTTTACTTTTCGAGATATCAGTGTCCATGTATTCTAGCTCGTGTTTGCTACAATTTCATCAAATCTGAAATGACAGCCACACGCGAAGTAAAAATGCCCACGAGTAAACTATATTTGACCTTATGTGCTACTTTCATTCATTTCAAATGCCTTTATTTTAATACCAAATAATGGCATACCTGCTACCCTAGAAGCCAAGCCTTGTATTATCTGGAACAAACAGACTTCTGTATGGAATATATAGTCATATCTTTTGGAAGATCGATGTGAAAACTCAAAACCAACTCAAAATATATAAAAAATCACTCGTTAACAATTTAGGAAGCTTGAAACAATGCTCACATATCTTTGGACATATTTTTGATGATGTCTGACTCTGTGATTGAGACGTTGGTGTGCAATATGGTCCCTGTCTAGTCCTTGCTCGAGTGCAACTTACAGATCCTCCACTACAGGACTTGGGACAAAATGGGCAATTCACGCTCCAACTAGCCCAGGGTGACCATATACAACCTGGAAATTAAGCATCTAGATCATCGCAAACGTTAATGTGAATAAGGTAAAAATTAAAACTAGTAAGGAACAATGAACGAGATTTCCAGCTATTATGAAGCATATCATTCAACATTTCTCAACTTCGTGCTAATTATGAAAAGGGGGCATATTTATTCATTTTTACATATTTTTTCAATAACGCAGAAGAAACATTACATACATGGTGGTGACAAACATGTTTTGGTCGAAACTTTAGTGTCTAACTGAACATTTGTTGCACAGTTTGGTCCTTGTCTAGTCCTAGTATGTGTGCATATTACTGATCCTCCACCGCAGCTTGAGCAATCAGGGCAAGTCTCACTCCAAGAAGTCCAGGTTAACCAACAACCTGCAAATTGATACTTTATATAAGCAATTTAGACTATCTCAGTAGAGTATACGTCGACTGTATAGAATAGTGTGAAGAAAGAATGAACGACATTCTCGGAACGTACGAGATATTATGGAAATGAAGGCCCTTATCATATAAATAAACAATATGTACTATTAATTTGTGGGCTAATGGTAAATGTTAATTGCAATTTTGTCATCCCCTATATATCTGATTCTGCCTCTAAGTAATAAAGAACACATGTATTGTGTACTCGCATTTCCATATCTCATGTAGTTGAAACAAACGTTGTCTTTATTTTACAGATTATAATGTAATGCAACACATCTTACATATCATAGGACATATTTTGGTTGATGTTTCACTCTTTGATTGAGATTTTGGTGTGCAATATGGCCCTTGTCTGGTCCTAGTACGGGTACAAGTAACAGATTCTCCGCCACAAGACGGAGGGCAAGATGGGCAATTCTCGCTCCAAGTAGCCCAGTTTGACCATTCACAGCCTGCAGATTGAGCATATACCATTAATTCAAAACCACTGGTACTGGTAAATAACAATGAACAAGATTTTTCAGTTAGCCAAGTTTGACCTTACACAGCCTGCGAATTTAACATCTAGATGAACTTATAACCAAATGGACATCTTGATTTTACAATGTTTACTAGTAAAGAAGAATAAACAAGATTTTCTGTTATTATGAAACATGTCAGGGAATGCAATTCATCTCTAATCACCAATTCATATGAATTGAGAGGAGGGGGGGGGGGGTTAGGATATTTACATTTTTCTAATAAAAAAGTAGAACGCGTTGCTTACATGGAGGTGATAAACATGTTTTGGTTGAAACTTCAGTTTGTAATTGAACATTTGGTGCACATTTTTGTCCTTGTCTAGTCCTAGTATGTGTGCATATAACTGAGCCTCGACCACAGATAGGGCAAGAAGGGCAACTCTCACTCCAAGAAGCCCAGTTTGACCAACAACCTGCAAGTTGAAACTTTAAATTAGCCATATTGGCCATATTAGTTGAGAATAAGTCGACATTCATGAACTTTATTTACAAGAACTTGGACACAGAACAAGTTTAGTTTACATGTACCAGGTCGTTCAATAAGTTCTCATAATTTTGCTCTCATTTTAAGAGTTTTTTATATTTTTCCATGAAAATTTTACAGACGATGCAGAATGTATCTGTGTAACAACTCTGCAAAGATTATGTATTAATTCTAATGGTTGTGGAAATGGCGGTTGCTATAGTAACGTCAAAAATCGGTAGGCGGGGCAACTTTATTTGATCGTAAAATCCATGGATGTAGTTAGATTTCATCTTGAAATGTCATATGTTTTATCTGAAAGATTTGCAACCATAGAAACAGGTTTTGACATCAGTGTGAAAGATGCAACTTTTCTGAGTATAGTTATTACTGTGACATCACATAAAAAGGTATGACATCACAGAAAAGGTTTCAATAGAGAGACCCAAGATGGCAGCTGACTGTGGTCTTGTGAAAAGTCAAGATGAAATTCAAATTCAAATCCGTAGTGTGATAAGATTTTGTGTGTTATCCAAGAAATCAAGAGGAGAAACAATAAAAGCAGTTCAAGATATTTATGGAAAGGAGTTAATGAGCACACCTACCATATACCAATGGTATCAAAGGTTTGGTTCAGAGGGAAGAAAATCTGTGATGGATGAAAAACGGACTGGCAGACCGGTAAAAGTCACCAACCCAAAGGCTGTTGAAAGAGTTAAGACAGTTCTAGATGATGATCGCCGCATCTCTGTACGGGAACTTAGTGAGAATGTGAACATTAGTATAGGTAGAACACACTTCATTCTGAAAGAGAAGCTTAAAATGAACCTCATGTGTGCTAAATGGGTGCCAAAGGAGTTAACTAGTGACCAGAGAGCCCGCAGAGTTGAGGTTTCCCAAGAATTTCTAAGACGATACCAAGATGAAGGGGATAGTTTTCTTCAACGAATTATCACATGCGACGAGGTGTACGTCAGCTATTATGAGCCCCTTGGGAAGAGAGCATCAAGTGGTTGGAGAACTAAGAACTCACCTACTCCCATTTCAACCCTGGCAAAACTGACCAAAAATGACGGCAAGGTGATGTTCATTGTGTTTTTGGATAGCTCTGGGGTGCTGCTTACGCATGCAATTCCTGATGGTCAGAGAATAAACAAGGACTATTATGCAATGGTAAGCTTATTCATTATTAATTAATTAATCAATATAAGAGTAAAAACATTAAATCAAATCAAATTTAAAATCAGATTTGAACTATAAAAATGGTTAAGTACAAATGTTAAAGGCATTAGTATCCTATCCTACTGACTATTTCAGGTTCTCAAGAGGCATCTCAAACGGGCCTTCTCAAAGAAACGCCCCCTCCTAGAGTTGGCGACAAGAATATTTCATCAGGATAATGCCCCGTGTCACCGGGCAGAAGTTGTACTGAACACCATAGGAGAACTCGGAATGGAAGTTCTCCCACAGGCACCATATTCACCTGATGAAGCCCCATGCGACTTTGGCGTGTTTGGCCCAATGAAAGATGAGCTGAGAGGTTTTCGATTTGCATCGAAAGAAGATTTGCAGAATGCAGTCCAAAATGCTCTCAGAGCTAGATTTCCTGATGGATTCCATAAAATCTTCCAGGATTGGGTAGAACGTCATCGAAAGTGTGTCGCATCCAATGGACATTATTTTGAGCATTTAAAGTAGGAATAGAAACATTTACCCCATACTATTTCATGGGATAAATGGGACTACATGACATTAAAACACTTGTTACTCTCCACAATGTTGAACTGAATTATATGCCACTATGACATCAAATAATCTGCCCCGCCTACCCATTTTTCATGTTACTATAACAACCGCCATTTTCACGACCATTAGAATTAAAACTTAATTTTTGCAGGGTTGTTACACAGATACATTCTGCATCGTCTGTAAAATTTTCATGGAAAAATATAAAAAACTCTTAAAATGAGAGCAAAATTATGAGAACTTATTGAACGACCTGGTACAGTACGTCTAATGGCACGCCTTACACCATGCCATGTCGTCGGCATGCCGCCCGAATTTCGTGGTCAACTCGAACGCTTTTCGTGGTCACCGCGGGCGCGTCACGAGTGCGCTTCAAGCTCATCGCGGGGTGATTTCATATGTACAGCGGAGTTGGTTTATTCGCGTAGCTTTCGCTCACCATTCGTTGCACGGACGCCACATTATAATTTCATGTAGTTAAGTGTTTTAGATTCCATTTACTTACCCGATGGACGAATGGTAAATCAGGTTTAAAACCATTATTATCTTTCAACGTTAAATTACACGATCTTTCATTTCCAGAGGATATTTAGCTCTCTTCCTCATCCCGATAAACATCTGATGAATGTAGATGTTTGCTCCCCATGTACATCACATTATATTATACAATTTATAAGACTCTAAATGAGTCGCTTTAGACGAAAACAAATAATTTAACAAAGTGTTTTTCAAAATGCTTTTTGAATCATCTGTTCCCATTTAACCACAGTACAGTATAAATGCACATATATTTATTGGATCCTGAATTTAATCAATGCGATGAATTTACATGAAATTAACAGATACTGCATGCGAACAATAACAACTATTTACCAATGAAATTGTTTTCATCAAAAAAGGCCACGCGTTAGCGTATCTACATCGTGAATTCTGAAAATTTCGTCCTGAAATGACAAATTAAACTCTTGCGCCAGGCTGGTTTTCGGGAGTGGTGACTTCGACAATGGCTTGAGACATCACCCGCACATGTCATGCAGTCTGTGTTAATGGTGAGAGGTCTCGGTCGAGGGGTCTGGGAGACAAGGTCTAGTAGCTAAGCTTCCCCAAACCACCGTCAGTATTTATGTGACAGGTAGATTGGTTGATCCTAGGGTTATGACATCTGTGTGTCATTTCCTGCAGTCTTCATTAATGTAGAGATAGGCTGGACATCCCGATCATTCAGTTGTGTTAGAGATAATTTTTGGTTAAGAAAAGTTGTGGTTTTGGTTTTGTGTTTAAGTTTCATGTATGGTGGTGAATCTTTTATGTTGATGGTAGATATATTGGAAGAGTTGTAAATTCGTTCGTCTTTAGTAGCATTTGGATGTGTGTAGTGTGAGTTTGTGGTGGGTTCCCCGTTTGTTAAAGGTTTGGGTGTTTAGTCTGGTGTTTGAGCTACGTGTTGGTCTGTGTGTAGTGGTGGTAGTATATCTTATTGTCAAGATATTAACTTGACTAGGGGATCTATTTCGACGTGCTGGGTTGTATTTTGGCTTTATCGAAGTTTTGCATTATTTTGGTTCGTAAATTTCGTGTATGTTTGGCGGCGTTTGTGGTATCTATGTGGTGGCTAAGTTGTTTTTCAATGGTTTGGGTGTGTAGTGTCATGTCTGAGGTTCATTTTGGTGTGTGTGTTATGGTAGTAGCATCTCTTGTTGTTGAGATATTAATTTGGTTTTGGAGGCTGTCTTCCCGTGATTTCATTATGTTTTGATTATCCTGTGTTTGTGGTTTGTCGGGATCGTGTAGCGTATTGATTAATTGCATCAAGTTGCGGTCAGTTTGTTTCTTTTAATTTGTTTTGTTTGTTTGGTTTGTTGTTTACCCTTTATGGCGAGGTGTTTTTATTTTGATACGATGTGTGCGTTGGGGGAGTTGTTAGCTTGTTCGCGATTGGTTGTATTTTGGTTTTATCGGAGTTTTGTGGTATTTTGGGTTGTAAATTTCGTGTTTGTTTTGTGGCGTTTTTTGGTAAGTAAATGGTAGGTAAGTTGTTTTTCAACGGTTTGGGTGTGTAGTGTCATGTCTAAACTTTATTTCGGTGTGTTTGTTATGATAGTAGCATCTCTTGTTGTTGAGATATTAACTTGAATTTGGAGGCTGTCTTCTTGTGATTTCATTATGTTTTGATTATCCTGTTTGTGTTTTGTCGGGATGGTGTATGCGTTTTGGTTAATTGTATCACGATATGGTCGGTTTGTTTGTTAAAATTTGTTTCGTTTGTTTTGTTTGTTGAAATGTGTTTTATATGATGCACGGGTAATGTGTTAGATAGTTTGTTGTATATGTTTGTGTTTTATTTCCATTGTTCTTTAAGAATGGGTTGTTTATTCTGAATAGGGTTCCCGATTGGGGAAACCTGGTTTGGTTGGTCGTTTGTGAGTAAATGCGTTGTTTTTAAAGTATGAATCGGAGTGAGTGTTTATCTCCAAAGGTTTATAAAGTGTATATATTTTTGTATTGCCGGGTCGGCAGAAAAAGATTGTTGAATATATATTCGGCACGCTGAAAAGAAATGTTTGGAACACCGAGTGTGGTGAGATGGTATAGTCCTTCTACTACAAAAAATGTGTCCGATCGTTTGTGAAATGAAATATAATTGGTAGTTGTCCATAAGCTGGGCAATGGGACATAGCCCGACGGTTTTTGTACTCAGGTTATTCACTTATTATGTGTTTATCCTTATGGCTAATGGAGACAGCCGTAATAACATAGTTTTCGGGAGTGGTGACTTAGACAATAGAGAATTTTCGTTATAAGTTGTTTCAAAAACTTATACGTATACTTATAGTTTAAAGGGTCTTGTCGAACTAAAATCAATTCAAATTGATTTTCATAATCTGTACCAAGTGGGGCATAACTATTCCCGATATAGTCAAGCTCCATCATCAACTAGGGACTGCGAATACAATGTCCTTTGCTAGTGTCAATTATGAACACGATAAACTAAACGCTAGTTGACGGGTCCTTGTAGTGTACGATAAACAAGACCCTTTAAAGTGAATCACTACACGAACGAGTCGTTCATTTCAAAGTTCTCATGAAATTATAAGGTCAATTTTTAAGTTTTTACGTATAAAAGGACCTTAAAACGCAGATTATAAACTTACAGAGTTGGATCTCCGCATAGTATATGTGTGGACCTAATGACCAGAATGGCTT